GATAGATAGATAGATAGATAGGATAGTAGGTAGGTAGAGAGATAGATAGATAGATAGATAGATAGATAGATAGATAGATAGATAGATAGATAGATAGATGATAGGTAGATAGATAGATAGATAGATGATAGGTAGGTAGGTAGGTAGGTAGGTAGGTAGGTAGGTAGGTAGATAGATAGACAGACAGACAGACAGACAGACAGACAGACAGATAGATAGATAGATAGATAGATAGACAGATAGATAGATAGATACATAGACAGACAGATAGATAGACAGACAGACAGATAGATACATGCACACCCATATTCATTGCAGCACTATTCACATTAGCTAAAATATGGAGACAGCCTAAATGCCCATCAACAAAATAATGGATAAACAAACTTTCCTGCACACTTTCCTACATACACACAATAGAATACTATGCAGCGTTGAAGAACAATAATGAATTTGTGAACCACCTCATAACATGGATACAACTGAAGGACATTATTCTGGTCAAATTAGTCCATCACAAAAGGATGAATATTGTATGAAACCACTATTGTGAAAAATCAAGAAAAGGTTTTCATGCTAAAAGAAACATTCTGTGATGGTTAGTAGGGACAGGACAGAAGAGAATAATTCATTGGCTAGAGGGTAGACATATGTTAACTTGGATGATGGGAAAGACAATATACAATAAGAGGGAGGTTGGCAGAAGAATAATGAAGGTAGGGGAAGACATAGGGAGGAGTTAAAGGGAATAGAGGTAAAAACTGTTATATACACAATCCTACAATCACAGCAACCTATGTTTTATTGTTGTTGTTAAGTGCCATTGAGTCAGTTCTTCCTCACAGAAACCTTGTATAGGGTTTCCGTGGAGTAGCTGGTGGGTTTGAACTGCCAGCCTTGCAGTTCAAACCTACTTTTTGGTTCATTGCTTAAAAAAAAGTGGGCGGGGGGCAGCTTCTGGAAAAGGTCAAATAAAGGGTCAGCAAAAAAGAGGAAGACCCTCAATGAGATGGATTGACAAAACAACAGTGGGCTCCAACATAGAAAAGATTCCGGGGGTAACACAAGACAGGGCAGAGTTTGGTTCTGCATGCGTAGGGTTGCTGTGGTTAGAACTAACTCAAAGACACATAACAACAACAACATCCTAGGAATCAAAAGAACTGGATTAAAGCTCTGATTCTAATACATGTTAATTCAATATTCTGTGTCTAAATGGTTCAATAAAATATTATGGGTTATAGAAGTGTGAACCTGGACTCATACTGGGGATTGGTACTTGGGGAAGGCTGGGATAGTGTTTCTCTAAGATCTCTCCTAATATCTTCTCCACTGAGGACTTAGGTGGCACGACCAATTATTTTCTTCCTTATTAGATTTTACTTCTTTCCTTGTTCCAGGGGAAGCATTTCACTTTAGTTTCGAAATAGTGGCAAAGGGTAATATGCTGCTCATGTATTCTATAGGGCTCATGTGAAGAATCCTGGTGTGGTGCTATAGGATAAGTATTGGACCACAAACCATGAGGTTGGCAGTTCAAATACACCAACTGCTCTGAAAGAGGAAGATGAGGCTTTCTGTTCTCATAGA